TTTGCAAATACCGCCTATCTTTCCTGGAAGACTATTTTTGGTCTTGGAAAGATCTTACCATCTCCCCTGCAGCAGGGCCAACTGAATAATTTTATACAGGCCGCCCTGCTCTATGGGTAACTGAATATAGTCCATAATGGTAGTGACATTTTGGGTTTTCACCCAGGTGTCTCAGCCTTGACGGCGATAGAAAGAGGAACTTTTGTCAGTATATAGTTAAGCAGCCATATTTGAGGAATACTGAAATCAGAGTTCTGAAATGAAGCCATTTTCAATTTGCTGTCTCAAGAGATGGCCAAAAGGGCTATTGTCAAGATGATGACTGATCAAAAGAGCAAGACCAGCATGCTTTAGAAATGAAACTTAAAATATTGGTATATTGTTAACTTTGCCAGAGATTGACAATGCAGAAGTTTTTCTCTTCCCCACTTATCCTCTAACAATAAACACTGTACTATATAACAAAATACTTGTGAACCCTAATGTTGGAAAAAGAAGCAGGCAAATAAATGTTGATACTGAATAGTGTTGGATTTATTGCTTGTACCACAGTAGAGGTTTACAATTTTTTATTTTAGTAAAAATATGATTACTGAGAATGATGCTAATAAGTATTAGGATCAACATGAAATGAAGAACGTTTGGGACAAATGCCATTCCCAGTTATAGGCATCATTACTTAGAAATCGTAAGAGACTGATTGAAAAAGGTAGACCACACACGTAAGTATCAACAAGCCTTTCAAAGTTTCTGCAAGCACACATTTCAAAAGGTAGTGCATTTGTGGAATTTAGGGAATGTTCATTTCCCGATTTCGGTTAATTGACTTTTTAAAATACCACACAGATTAATTTCCATGCATATGTTTCATATTCTCAATGTAAAAGTATGCATAAAATCTCTTGCTAAAAAGGATTAGTACATTATTTTTTCATGCATTTTGAAGATTCAGATTTTAACTTCAGATACATTGAAAGAAAAATGACTCCCTGAATTTATTAAAATAGGCTGTATTTGCTGGGACCAAGGGGGCAGGGAGTTCAGAGTGACAAAAAGCAACACTGAGGCATTGCAGTACAAGCCCTGCCTCTTTCTTTGCACATTGCAATGGCCAAAAGAGGCAGAGCTTGCAATACTGCTTTTGTCATTTTGAGAAAAGTGGCAAGATCTTGAGGATACCACTTGCTAGGGCTTGCAGCACTTCTGACTGATAAGCCATCAGTCCTTCAAGGTAGACCAGTCAGGAAACAGACCCCACATGAATGCTAGAATTCTACTTTATTGATATACAGGTGGTCCTCATTTAACAACCACTCGTTCAGCAACTGTTCAAGCTTATGACAGGACTGAACGAGTGGTACTTACGACCAATTCTTGTACTTATGCCGGTCGCAGCATCCCTGCGGTCAGGTGATCATGATCCAGGCGCTTACTGCCCAGCTCACAATTACAATGTTGCAGTGTCCCTCAGTTACATGATCGCCATTTGTAACCTTATTTGTTGGCTTCCTACAAGCAAAGTCAATAGGGAAGCCAGCAGGTCACAAATGGCAACCACATGATGTCCTTGCTTAATGACCCATGGTGATTCACTTAATGGTAACCAGAAGTGCTGGAATGTTCATTGCCAAGTGGTGCGGTCATGTGACATTACATTTTACGAGTGTGTTGCTTAGTGGCAGAAATTCCGGTCTCAATTACCATTGTTAAGTGAGGACTACCAGTAGGCTAAAGTAACAGAATCTTGAAAGCCTAACAGTGTTTTCCCTTCCCTCCCTCTTAGCCTGAGTTTCTTTTCTTTCTTTTGTTTCCCAGGTTTAAAACATGTTTCTATACCTGTTGCTGCATTGTTTCCCCAAGGTCATATCTGTGGCTGTCCACATAAGCAAGGAGGTGCTTCAGAGCATGCAGAGATGCAAACAGCAGCTTTTTGCAGCTCCTTAAAGCAGTCATGACTGTCCCCCGCAACTGCTGCCAAATCTTGGGGGAAAAAACTCGTTTGGTTAAGGGTTTACAGAGAGATGGTATATTTGTGCTTGTTTGCTACAAGGCACCTTTTTGCCATTAAAACTGAACGATGGCATAGTCCTAGTACTTGCATGGAAAAAAATTAGAAAGCAAAATAATAACAGGTTCCCAGTTGAAACATTATTGGTAACTTGATATAAATATTACTTTTAGGTAATTCCTGGGACAAGGAGGCCTACACCCTTCAACTTATCAAAGGTAATACGCCCAACATTTATCTGAGCATAGAAAGAATCTCTTAGAGCTTAAGCCACTGCTGGAGAAAAGAGTGGTGTGTTCTCCACCATGTCCATGTATCTGTCTGGACTTGGCCAAAGTCAGTATTGATTTGACAAACTATAAAAATTCTGTATTAGAATACTGCCACTATAAAAGGCATTGTACCATATATTTAAGCATTACTGCACAACAAACAATGAGTTTGTTTGATGATGATTTCTCTTACTTTGACTTTGAAAAACAGGAATCTAGAATGGAAATCCAGCTCTTAATAAAGGACAAAGAAGAAACAGGATCAGTGCAGAAAATTATTGACTAGCCATTGATAAGGGTAGGATATAAGAAGCTGGGATATCCTTTATGGCTGTGCACAGTTCAAAAACGATTCAGCATTGAAGAGGTTCAGACCTTGGGTGAGCAGAACATTTTTCTGCCATTCATTAAAATAGCTTTTTCAGTTTTCCATCAGATTAGTTCTTAAAGCAGGCACAACTTTTTCTCAGTCTTGCACAAAAGCCTAAAAAAGAGGCTACTTTAATGAAAAACAGAGAAATGCTCTGCTGACACAAGGTCTAAGTTCTTCTGAATAATTTTCAAAGCATATACAGTCCTAACAACTTTAGTTTGAGATTTGGAAAAAGTTTAATTTTAATATGGTAAATTTAGAAAAAAATGTCAATTGGACAGAAATGGCACTCTTTCCTAGGATGAGTTTTATTGCTATCATATGTCTATTTGATGTTACTTCCAAGTTAAGAGTTCATATAAATTGATATTCTCGGCTTTGAACAGAAGCATTATTGGTTTCCCATAAATTGTAGATACAGGAATCTAAAGTATCTTTGCCATCAGGCTCTTAACATTATTCCCTGTAAGTGCAACTCTGTAAACCAGTTTGGGCTAGGAAGTTAAGCAGGATCTGATCTGGCAAGTACTTGGGTAGACCAGAACTATAGGAAGAAACATCCTGGGAGAAAGCAATGACAAACTACTTTTAAATTTCTACCAAGGAAACTACAATACAGAGATATGTTTATGAAGTCATTAGGAGTGAAGATTAATTTGAAGGCAGCAGTACCTATAGCACTATAGTACTTATGTTCTGTACACAACTAGGATGGATTCATATAAACATTTCAGAAGTTTATCTCCAGAGGTGGCATTCAGGAATATAATTTTGTTAAGCAAAGTTAGAGAAGATTAAATTCTAGGTGCCCTGAAATTTAGATTAACCCGAGAGTACTTGTGCATGAATGCTATTTCGACCTGGAGTTGAAACTACTATGAGGTGTGCAAAATGACATGTTAAATTGCTGTGCGTGATAGCTTTCATATAGAGGACTATGACTAAAATCCTTTTTATGGAATATTTTCTCCTTCCTTTTAAAGTATTATATATATTTTTTATGAACAGACTTTAGAAGAAAAGAATTTGGCAAATATCACATACATTTAGCTAGAACTTCATAATTACTAGTTTTAAATAGTGTTAATCAAATATTATCATCATCTAACGGGTTCACGTATAAACTAAAGCATGTTGAAATAATCTCTTATTCCATCTGAACATCTGAATTCACTTTGCAGGATATGGCATGCAGCTGCATTTAGATTCAAAGCAAGAGCAACTGCAGTACATTGACCCATTGAATATTACAGTAGGTTTTGAGTTTCATGTTAGTTGGATTTATTGGAGAAAATTGATTTGAGTGCTTCTGCTTTTGGCAGTTTTTTTAATGTCCGGAAGAAAGGAAATAGGACATGCATAGGATGTGACTTTGATGTGCAAAAAAGTTAATTATCTAAACCCTCTAAAAAATCTTGGTTGGGGAAGTAATTATTTTAAAGGGGACAAGGTGGTCTGATGAGCTGTTTTCCGCATCTCAGCAGAACACTTCATATTCTGCCTTTGCAATTTGGGAACGAAGCTTGCCGCGCTCGCGCTATGCGTTCTTTATCTGGGGAAATAATGAAGACTTTGTCCAAAACGGAGGCAAAACTCTCCCTGCTTTTTCTGTAGTACAGTAACTCCCCTTGCTTTGGGGCAATAATTAAGTCACTGGTCAAGAAGTACACAGCCGTGCAAAATCTACGATCAGGGTAAAGCAGAGGCGCATCTCCACCTAAACCGAAAGCGCGCCTCCTGGCGTGGCCTCGTGGCCAGCCTGTCGGCCGGGTCCGCGAATCAGAGGCGACGCGTCTTTCGCCGCGACTCCCGCAGGAAGCGACGCCATGGTTCCTCCCGCCTGCTGAGTCGCTGCTCCTGCGGAAAGCCGCGGCTG